TAGGGGCTTATCAATTTTATTTAATCTTTCAAAGAACCAGCTTTTAGCTTTTTTAATTCTTTGAATTGTTTTCTTTGTCTCAATTGAATTAATTTCAACTCTAATCTTTATGATCTGTCCCATTCTGCACCTGGGCTGGGACTGGTCCTGCCGATGCAGGGTAGCAGGATGCTGTCCACACACTCGTAGGACCTGGGCTAGGACTGGGTCTGGGGGTTCTCGGAACTCGGCAGAAATTCCTACTCGGCGGGCAGGGTGGGGAAGGTACTGCGGAGTGGTTGGCGGCAGCCCGACAGGGTGGGAGAGGGTCTGGCCCACTCTGCGCTTGGGCTGGGACTGGTCCCGCTGGCGTAGGGTAGCAGGAAGCTCTCCACACACTCACCGGACCTGGGTAGGACTAGGTGTGGGGGTTCCTGGAACTTGGCAGAAATTCCTACTTGGCGGGTGGGGTGGGCGAGGTACTGCGGAGTGATGAGGGGCGGCCCAAGGGGGTGGGAGAGGGTCCAGCCCACGCTGCACCTGGGCTGGGACTGGTCCCGCCGGTGCAGGGTAGCAGGAAGCTCTCAACACACTCACAGGACCTGGGCTAGGACTGGGTCTTTTATATAGTCTCTCTGTTTGTCTCCTCAGCTGCTAGGATGACAGGTTTGGCCCAATGATCACAACCAATTTAAATATTCAACATAGAAATATCTTAAGTCTTATCTCCTCATTCCTTATCTAGTGTGATAAATTGCATTTATACCTGTAAATCCTATTTATTTAAATAGATGATGATTTTGATGATTTATAAATTGTCTGTTAGTCCTTTCCTAAAGTTGACTCAAAATTCTGGATATTCAGTAAATACCACAAACTTAGTCTTTCAGTACTAAATACCTAATTGTCTCCCAATTCACTGACTTTTATTTCTCAGTTAATGGTGTTTTTTGGGTTTTTTTTTAGATAAAAAATGAAAATACAAATTTACCTTTTTTTTGTTTAAAAATCTACATCTATATATTCAGCTAATCAGCTGTTTGTTGTAACTTCTGATATTTTAATACTTATCTTAATACAATTAGTATCTTAATTTTTCCCATGACATCCACTGCTACCCTGGTCACCATCATATATTATCTGTATCATTACCACAGCTTTTCTGAGAGTCATAGTTAAAACTTTATTTCACTTTCAGAATTTTTATTCCCTAAAATACATTTTATCTATAAAGAGATAATCTTTTTTTGCTAGAAAATGGTGTCCATGCACCTTCTCCTAAATAGGATCTGGAAGCCACAGATGACCTCCTCCCCCTCCATAGAGTAGATTCTTTGAACCTAGTACCAGAAAGAAAAAAAAAAAAAGTCAAGATGTGTCAGTGAGAACAGTAGGGAGATTTCTTTAGCCAGCATGGAAGAAGTACTGACTTAGAGAGGAAGGAGAAGGCAAGTGCTGAAGGACAAACACACTGTGGTCCATGGTTAGGGATGTATATGTGGTCTTGGAGGCCTCTGACAAGATAGATGGTCTAAGATGTTTTGCCAGAAAATATTCTTTCAGTCCCTTAAATGCTTTTATTCTTCTACTTAAGTTCAGGCTGCTTCTCATGACTTCATTAGCTAGGTTAATTTATAGAATTACTATATTTTAACAATTTTTCATATGATGGGCTTAGAAGGCAACAACAAACTAGGCAATTATCAGAGGATATGCTTATAGTCACAGCATGAGGCTGAGGAAGGTAGATTTGAGCTCTGTGTGAAAGCCCTGGCTTTAATCTCTAGCACCAAAGGGAAAAATGTAAATAATTTACCCTAATCAGTTATATTTTTACTCCTACAAATAAAGATTTTTTTACTTCTGAAATTTTAAATGTGCCAAAAATACTATAGAATACATCTTGTACATGAAAATTGGAAATATGTTATATGGCATAAGTTTCATTGTCAGTTGTAAGGATGTCTATAAATTCTTAAAAGGATACAAAAGAGAGAGGTCATCTTTATTTAAAATAATATGAAATTTTATACTGATGATAATTAAACATTATGAGCAATATTTTGCCCTTATGTAACATATGAAGCTATCAATGACCTATTTTACTTCTGTTTTAGCTTTTTGTATGGACATAATTAGAAATTACTTTCCTGTAAATTTCTTTAATCAATGTGTTGAAAGTCCCATGTACAAAATTATTTTTTCATGGAATTTTTTTCTAATAGATAATAGAAATGTGCATTGTAAATGTATAAGTGAATGTAATACAGTATGTTATCAAATATTATTTAGAGAATAAAGTTAATGTTTTAAAATACTTTTGATTTTATTAAAGTAGTATAGCAAGAGGTGTTCTTTGATAATTGTAGAATTTTGAAAGGAATAAAATGCACCAAAATGTTAAAACCATTTCTTTCTCAATATTCTAGATTACTTTTATTTCCTTTTTTCATATAGTATCCATTTATCTGAAGGGTTGATGCAGTGTTAAAGATAATAAATATTATTTTAATGAATGAAAACTTTTATATCTGTGTTTTCCTTTCTTATTTTTTGGAGACAGATATTTATCTTGTGCTGGCCTTAACTAGCCATTAGTATTTTTTGACAATTTCAATACAAAGATAGGTTAGAATTTTCATTTAACTTTTGTTTTGCAGGCAGTTTTTACTGTAATGTACATATAAGAATTCTACTTTTTCTTTCTCCCACAGACAGCCTTTTGATTGATTATCAGTTTACCTTTAGCTTATTACAGGAAGATGATCGCCATCATACTGCCATAAATTTCATAGCAAATCCAGAACAGGTAAAGAAGTATTATCTATTATAATGTAACTGGACTCATCAAAGGACAGAAACTTTATGTTGTCTTTCATTGTGATTTTATTCATCAGAGTTATAATACTTGAGACCTTTGTAGAAAAGGTCAATCCTGTTCTCATACAATGTAAATATCCTTGTGAGTCACCGAGTTGTGTATTTAATATTTTAGTTTTACAGTTTCTACACCTTTAAATATTAGATTACTTTTATATATACTTTTATAATGCATGTTAGTATTTATAACAGAAACTCAGTCTGATTTGAAAATAAAACTGACCTTATTCTCAGAACACTTTAGGCTGTGTTAATTTCTATTCTGTAGATTTTAAGGAGTGACCATATATTTTTTTCTTTTTTCTTTTCTTTTTTTTTTTTTTTTTTCGGAACCGGGTATTGAACTCAGACCCTTGCATTTCCCAGGGAAGTGCTTATTCCACTGAGCCATCACCCTGGCTCCCGACCATATTTTTTTGAATACATGTAAAGCTTTATTTTTTAAATGAAGATTTTTTATAGTATTTTCTTTGAATTATAATCTTTCACTGATTGTTTCTATTTTAATGTCAGCAACTCTATCAGTATGATATGAATGTATTCAGAAATGTGCTATAGGTATTTTAAAGTTATGACTTATTTTTTCATAATATAAAATTCACCCTATTAGTTACTTTTAGTTGTGCAGTACAATAGCATTACTTATTCTTTAATGTAGAATAATCATCATCTGTACCCAGTTTCAAAGTTTTTTCATGTGTCAAATAGAATCTGTGTGTCCATTCAATAACCATTTATTATCTCCTTTTCCCCCACTTAGTACCTTCATTCAACTTCTGTCTTTATGAAAGATTTTTTTCAGGCTATTTCATATAAACATAGTCATATAATGTCTGATATTTTTGTTTGGCTTGTTTCACATAAAATAATGTTTCCAAGATTCAACCATGTTGTATCATGTATCAGAAATTCACTCTGCAATTTACTTCATGGTTGTTAATACTCATTCCAAAATGTATGATTTTCTGAGACTTGAAAAATTTAATAAAAGTGGAATATCTCACTCAAACTTTGAAATTAAATAATGAGCTTACCAAATATAAATAGTCACACAAATTTTTCTAGATTAGCTACAATCTGGTTTACTTCTTTCTACTATCATTGCTTCTCTCAACATCCGGAAATCCCTTTGATTTCCAGAAATCCCTAATGTTTTAAATGTTCCTTACTTCATCTTTAGTTTTTACAGTTGAATCCAAGGGACCACACAAGAATTTTGATGGTGAATTACAATAACAAGTGTCACCAAAGATGCTAATACCATTTTTTGTTAACTACCTTTGATTGGAAGCAATCTCTGAAGTTGCTATATATCATTGATCAAGCCTTCCTATTTATGCTATAAGAAAATAAAAATAAATTATAGATATCTTTATATGTATCCATTTCCTACATATTGAAAATTGGTTTAATTTTAACCCATTGTAAATCACTTGTAGTCAGTGGTTTTATGTGAACAATTTCTGGAGCGAGTTTCTGTGTGACCCGGTCTTGTTAAAATCATCAACATCTGCAAAAATATTCTAAGTGATTGACTTTATAATTTTCAGAGGTGTTAATGATGCTTTAATAATGGTAATGAACTTTAAATAATTCTAAAAAGTTTTTATAGACCTTTAGTTATGGTTCCCTAATTTCAAAAATATCTAAATTTAGAATGGATAGAGGATGAGCAAGGTGTATGGTGCACATCTGTAATCATAACTCTCAGGAGGCTGAGACAGGAAGATCATTGTGAGTTTGAGGCCAGCCTGGGCTGCATAGTGAGTTCAAAGCTGGTTTTAACTACACAATGAGATCGTGTTTCAAAAAAATTCAGCATGAATTAAAAACATTAGTGCTACCAATAATTTCTTGAAGGAACGCCCTATATACCCATTTAGAGAAAAGGCCAAGTATAGCACAAAAGACAAATAGAGAAGATTAAAATCTGCTTTGGAGTTCATCACACAATTCATTTTGTTTTAAAAAATGAGATCTATAATGTTAATCACAACTATACCTATTCAATTTAAAAGTTATCAAATACACAGAGCTTGAGAAATTTAGCATAGGCAAAGTTAAATCAGTCGACTACATTGTATGCTTCCATTTTATTTTCACGTTCTTAACTTTAATATTTTCTTTCTTGTTAGTCAAACAAAAATTTGGATATTTCAATTAATGCATCAAACAACTTTAATCTCAACATTACATGGTCAGTTGGCTCAACAGGTAAAAATATTTTGGTGTCAAATTTCCTTCATATTTGGTCCTATATGGAAAATTTTCTAGCATGTTTTATTGTTCATCTAAATAAAAGCTGAAAAGTTACATGCTATAATCTTTGTATAGTTATTGGTAAAGATAAAAAGTAACTATTAACAAAGCTATATTATTTTTTGATATTCTTCCTTGTTTGATTAAAATTAAGTGACTAACAAATCTTATACACCACTTAATTTTTTTTAGAAAAAGGGTATGTTGTGAAATGTAGAGGTCTTTAATTCAGATTACTTTAACAAATGATGAGATTGAAATTTAAATTAACCATTAGAACTGTACATTTATTAGCTCTTCTCTTTACTTAAAAAAAAAAAACTACTAAATTCTTCTATCCAAACTGATAAAAGAAACAACTTGATCTATTATTTTCAAGTTGAGAAATATATTCCATCTTGTCTGCTTCAGTTCTAAGAATAGGCCTAAACAACCACATAGCCCAGCATGGTAGGGCAAATCTGTAATCACAGCATTTTTGAGGCTGACACAGGAGGACTGTTGCTAGTATGAGATCAGCCTGGGCTACAAAGTGATTTCAAGGCCAGTCTGAACTTCACAGCAAGACCCTATCTCAAAAAGACAAATCAGAAACAAAAATACTACATAAATATGTCTTCCACTCTACGCGTTATAAATTGAAATTACTGACTTGTAAAAAGTGTAACTATGATGAAATTCAAATCTTTATGTTGAATTATATATTTGTATGCTTATCTTTAAATACTTGTATTTTGTTATACGGTTCTGGAATCTACATGTTAAGAAGGCATACAAAATAATTTTAGAATAGTAGATCAATTTCAAATTAATTCCTTTACTGAGCATACTAATTCTAATTAATTTTGCAGTTCATTAAAGTGGAAGTCTTGTTAAAATTGTTGGAAGGGCTTTATTACATTTGATTAACTTTAGTAAATATTTATTAAGTGCCCAATCTGTGTTTAGCTATTTGAGCATTTAGCTCATGTTTCAAATTGTGGTGTTCTCCCAAATTATTTAAAGTGGTGATGGTTCAATTTGTGGTAAGACAAATAAATTAATTTATTTTCCATTTTTAGTTGAATTAAGACATATGTAAATATGGTCTGATTTGTTTTGGAAGGCTCTGTGAAGTATTAAGTAGTAGGAGCTCAAGTTTCTGGTGCCATATATAGGCCTAAATTCCAAAATTTATTGTTATTAGTGATGAACTTGGTATAAATGCTTTAGTCTTTATCAGGATTAGCTTTAAGTTTGAAAAATAGGGATAATATATCTAGAAGTATAGTATATCTAGAGTATAATTTTTGTTAGAAAAGCATATAAAGGCTCAAATTGAAGGCCAATTACATTGTATTTAACTAATGGTATCATTTTTTTTCTTTTCAAAGTTTTATTGATAAACATATAGCAATGAGACAGTTTCAAATCAAATCGAAAGTACAGTTTCAACAAATAATACACTGCATACATTCTTCTTAGTGGTTAATTGCTGTACAAGATGCAGACTTGTGATCCTACTTACAAACACTATTAGAAAATATCATTCTATTCATTAAGAGAATGCAACTATATATCTATCCCAACCACTTTGAATACACAGATACAAAATGGACATTCATAGTTATACCCCAATTTTTTTAAGTTCCGTTGTTGAATATTATAGGTGTGTAAACTCAGCTAATGGTATCATTTTTAAAAGTAATTTTTATATACTGAGTCTATTTGTGTTAAATGTATGGGATACACATTTTTTGTCATTAAAAATTGTAAGCATGGCCATAATTTAGTAATTATATAAGACCAATTATACAAAATAAATATATTAAGTGTTTTCAAATTAATTAAGATCCCTGTGTTGTAGTACAAATTAATCTTCTTTTTACTTACACTTTAGCTGGAACCATAACTGGGGAAGAGACTCCTATAATTTCCAGAACTAATATAAAGGAATACAGAGATAGTTTTTCCTATGAAAAGTTTAACTTCAGAAGCAATCCTAATATAACATTTTATGTGTATGTGAGCAACTTTTCCTGGCCAATTAAAATACAGGTAAGTGTTAAGACCATTTATTTAAAATGATCATTCAATATTTTCTTATAAAATAATCATGTTTTTCTCCAAAAAGATGATACATTTCTTTACTTGAGTTATGCTAAAACATGTACTGACCGTTAATAAAAAATGTTTATATGTGTCAAGATATGTCTGCATGAAAACACATACAAATACTGTTGAATCAACCAAAGAATGTATTAAAAATTTTAATGAAGATTAAAGTCTAAAATATGCAACAAAATTTGAATCAACTAGGATTTTTAAGTTTTCTGGTTAAGTTTTTACTTAATTGATGTACCTACTTTGTTATTCCTACTACATTTGAAATAATTTATGCTAAAATAGTATTAGTTTTGTTTTTCCATATAGAGAATAAAAATTAATTGGTTACTAAACTTTTAGGATTAGCAATACCTAGATATTTACTTTTAAAAGACCACTGCTTGTGTAAGTAGTGATTTCTTAATGGATGCCTTCTTTGTCATTTGTTTCATTCTAATTTTTTATTTTTAAAGAGAATATGAAATATTAAAAATATATTATAAATGATACAGAATTTCACTACATAAAATAATAGGAATTAGCAATGATTTTTGTATTGCATAAAATTGTCTTCAAATTATTTGTTTAGATTACCAGATATAAGCATGCAAAATCAGCAAAAAACAAAGTTACAAAAAATTTCAAAGAAGAAAAATATTAAGCATTAACTACTCCTTTCCACAGATCAGTAGAAATCATCAGTACAATTATCCAAGCTATCCTCAGTATATACATACATATTTCTTTTTCCCTTCTTTCTTTCTTTTGTCCTTTTCCTCATGTCAGTTTTTCCTTCCCATTGAAAAGGTTCTTTCTCTTTCACAGTATGCATTTTACCTTTCATATTTTGTTTACTCTTTCAGGTTATTCTTATGAGACAATACAATGTTTGTATGTATGGGTCTGATTCATTTCACTTATGACTATGGTCTCTAGTTGCATCCCTTTACTTATAAAAGCCTTGAGTTGTTTTTTTTTTTATAACTGAGTAATACCCGATTGTGTAAAAGTACCACATCTTTTTCATCTGTTCCTCAGTTGATGGGCATTTGGGTTTGCAAGATTTAGCTATTACAAATTATGCTGCTATACACATGGGTGCACACATATCACTGTAGTACATTGTTTTCAGTACATTTGGAAAAATAACTAGGAGAGGAATAGCTAGATCAAACAGAACTTCCAATCCTAGGCTTCCCAGAAATCTCCATACTGATTTCTATCATGGTTGTACTATTCTATACTCCCACCAATGGTGGAGAAGAGCTCCCTTTTCTCACAGCCCCTCCAGTACTTGTTATTGGTTGACTTCTTGATGATGGACATTCTTTCTGGCATGATATGGAATTTCAGTGTTGTTTTCTTTTTTCTTTTTTTATTTTATTGAGAAAGAAATATCAATGAGACACTTTCCAAGCTGATTAATAGGACACTTTCAATAATTAATACATTGTACATTATTATCTTCTCAGCGGTCATCCACAGCACAAGGAGCAGCCAGGACATCCTGTCCAAACACTACTACCACAAATCCTTCCTCTCACTCAACCAAGTGAAAATAGCCATTCATCTATCCTAACTATTATGTATATACAAATACAAAATGGTCCTTCATCTGTATCCCCCCTCTCCAATTCAGTCCTGTCAGAGATGGGTCTTCTATTGGCATCTAAATATTATAGGTGCTTGAATTCATCAAAACAAACCAACACAGTCCAGTAGTCCAACATAGTATGGGGTTGTCTGCAGAAGTTATTGACTAGATCCTTTTACAGTTCAGCATATTAATATGGCTTTACTTTATATACCTCATTTTATACTTTTCTGCTGGATGGTTAAGATCAAGATAAAGCAAGATCTATATAACAAGAAATGTAACTTTTGTATCTGATAAGGTCAGTCAAGTCCCAGGATTTACCCTGTAACCCTGTACTGCACTTTGTAGATCCTTTGTCAATGTCAGCCATGTGGATGAGTCACAGCCAATGCTTGACCAATTTGCTCTCTGCGAAAGCCTGAGAGAAAGTTTTCTCTCTATGAGACTCTCCTTGGGGACACTATACACCATTGATCACATTCCTCTGTGGCTCCATAATCTCCTTGATCAGAAAATTTGGGGCACAACTGAGTTACATGATATTTTAGTATGGGTTCTCCTATTTCCTCAGTCTTCCCTGACCTTGAAAGTCTAGAGCCAAAATGTTGGTGGACCTTGCAGCCTTTCCTTTTGTCCAATTTTTAATCTGAAAACTCAGGTTGTTAATCCTCCGAAGAGAAGCTTATTATTACCCTGCAACATATGCAGTTCAGTTTACCCTAACTATCTGACTAAATATCAAACATCTTAGGCATGACATGGAACAGGTGTCTTCCATCAATTATTGATGTGTTGAAATTTAAGTCCTTACAGAATATGACAAAAAAGAAAATAGGAATAAGCATGTATTTTTACACAGAAATTTAGAAATCTAACCAATATGCAGAATTGTAGCAGGAGAGTCTTGAGATTTTTCTTTCTTTTTCTTGTGTCTTTTTTTCATTTGTTAGCCATTTAAAAAAAGAAAAAGCAAAAAACAAAAAAAAATCTTACTTGTGAGACAGTATGGTAATAATTGGAATGTCATGACGAGAAGTATGTACTTAGAAGACCAGAATGACAGACATTCCAAGCATGACCCTTCTATTACATATTGCTATCTTCAGGGAAGTTGCTAGGTTCACAGGTATTAGCATATATAGTTAGTCAGGTTGAAAATCCTACCAATTGACTGGTAGTTTCAAAAACTTGCTGATGTTTCTCAGGATCATTGCCTTGCCCATCTTGTGCATACAAATGTATTGCTTTCTCCCTGTCCTGTTTCCCAGCTTTTCTCCTTACCCTTTCCTCATTGTCCAGTCCTCAAATTCTCTCTTTCCTTTTAGTTGTGTTATACCTTTCTATTTGTATTTCTTCTTTTGAGTTCTTATACTAAGGAGACTATACAATATTTATAAATGTGGGTCTAGTTTATTTCACTTATGTGTATATCTTCAGGTGACAACCACTTAAATACAAATGCTTCAAGTTTATCAATCTTTATAGCTGAGAAATACTCCATTATATAAAAATACCACATCTTTTTCAACCATTCCTCATGACAGGCATCTTGGTTGTTTCCAAGATTTGGCTATCAGAAACTGTGCTGCTATAAACATAGGTACACATATATCACTATGATATAACATTTTCAGTTCCTCTGGGAAGATTTGCAGTAGGGAGATAGCTGGCTTGAATGGAATTTCCAGCCCTAGTTTCTTAAGGAAACTCCACAATGATTTCCATAATGGTTGCACCAGTCTACACTCCCACCAGCAGTGGAGAAGGGTTCTCTTTTCCCCACAACCTCTCCAACATTTGTTGTTGGTTGATTTCTTTATGATAGCCATTCTTTCTGGGGTGACATGGTATCTCAGTGTTGTTTTAATTTGCATTTCATGGATGGCTATTGATATGGAACATTTTTTCATATATTTATTCGCTTTTTTAATTTCGTCTTCTGAGAAGCGTGTGTTCATCTTGTATGCCCATTTCTGGATTGGGTCTTTAAATTTAGGGGCCCTAATGTATTTTAGTTCTTTGTAAATTCTAGAGAGCAGACCTTTGTCTGAGTGCTTATTAGTTAAGATTTTTTCAAAATTTGCGGGTTGCCTTTTCACTTTGTTAATTTGTTTTGACTTGCAAAAACTTCTCAATAAGAGCAGATCCCAGTTTTTAATTCTTTCAAGTGTTTCCCGTGCAGTTTGATTTTTGTTCATTTCCCTACCCCTATGTTTTCAAGAGTTCCTCCTACTTTCTCTTCCAGGAGATTTAGTATTTCTGTTTTAATGTTTAGATCTTTACTCCATGTTGACGTTAGCATAATGCATGATGATAGACCTGGGTCAAGTTTCAGTTTTCGACATGTAGAGATCCAGTTTTTGCAGCACCATTTGTTAACGAGGCTATCTTTCTTCCAGTAAGCGTGTTTGGCCACTTTGTCGAAATTCAGGTGGCTGAGTGTTCAGAGAGGTCTCTGAATCTTCTAATCTATTCCATTGTTCCTCAGGTCTATTTTTTGCCAATACCATGTTGATTTTATTGCAGTAGCTTTGTAGTATAATTTCAAGTCCGGAATTGTAATGCCTCCTCCCTTGTCTTTGTTGGCCAGGATTGCCTTTGCTATTCTAGGTCTTTACTCGTTCCACATAAATTTTAGGAAGGATTTTTTTAGGTCTGGAAGGTATGTTGTCTAATGGCTCTAGCTAATGATTCCAATACTATATTGACTAGTAGGGGTGATAGAGGACATCCTTGTCTTGTACCAGATCTAAGAGTAAAATATTTCAGTTTTTCCCCATTTAGAATAATGTTAGCCATTTGGTTATAGATGGTTTTTATCAAATTGAAATAGAGGCCTTCTGTTCTAATATTTTGTAGACTTTGAACATGAATGAGTGTTGGACTTTGTCAAAAGCCTTTTCTGCATCAATTGAGATGATCATGTGGTTTTTAGATTTGGCTTTATTATTATAGTGTATTCCATTTATAGATTTTCGAATATTGAACCATCCTTGCATCTTTGGGATGAATCCTACCTGGTCAGTGTGTATGATCTTCTTGATGATTTGCTGTATTCTTTTTGCTAGGATTTTATTGAGGATTTTTGCATCCATGTTCCTGAGTGAGACTGGCCTGTAGTTCTCTTCTTTTGTTGTGTCTTTCCCTGCTTTTGGAATCAGTATAATACTTAACTTGAGGAATGATTTTTACAAGACTGCTTACTGTTCAGTTTCATTGAAAAGTTTGAAGAGTGTAGGAACTATATCTTCTATAAATTTCTTGCAGAATTCAGCTGTGAATCCATCAGGATCTGGACTTTTCTTTGTTGGCAGCCTTCTTATTACATTTTGTATTTCATTGACTGTTATTGCAT